TCTCTCTCTCTCTCTCTCTCTCTCTCTCTCTCTCTCTCTCTCTCTCTCTCTCTCTCCCCCTTTTTCTGTATATGGCGAAGTATCGAGCAACTGGAGCATGAAGGAAATAAAAGATGTAACACATTAAAAAAATTCATTTCCAACAGTTAAACATTTAACTATTGCTAGAATGAATTACAATCGGCATCTTTAATATCGGCAATACATATCCATATTTCCGTCGATCGAAGAATTTTCAATTTAAATAATAATAAATGATTTATTAAGATCATATATGTAAATACATAAGTAAGAGTTTTAATGCTTATAAAGGACGAAGTTGGATCTTAGATGCTTTTAAATAATTTATATACTAATAAGAGGAAGATGATGAGGTTAGGGATTTTGATGCGCTTTTTATAGGATGTTCGAAAAGAGAGCGAAAAAAAAAATAATACGTATCCGGCCATTTCAGTCATTGACCTATAGTTTCGAAGAAATCGATTTTTTAAATAATTATTGTAATAATTTGAAAAATCTACTGTATAAATGAAAATGTCAGTATCTTTAATTTTATTTTAACTTAATGTTATTACTTTTTGATTGTAATGGAATTACATTTTATGAAATTAATATTAAAGATTAATTAAAGATTAATTAATTAATATTAAAGATTAATTAAAGATTAATTAATTAATATTAAAGATAATTAAATATTTATTTATGAAATATTTATTATCGTTGTTGTTATTCATACGAACGCATAAATAAGATTGTAATGAAAACTTACAGTTTCTAATGAAATTAGAAGGTGTGATTAGGAACAAGTAAGTCATATATTTGTAATCTTCTTTTGATTAACATTAATCGATATTAATAATATAATAGAAAACTAATGGTGTTTTGTAGACATATAGGAAGATTGTATGGGAAGATATAAATCATAAAAACAAGAAAAACATAAATATTTATTGCATTGTAAACATCTTACAAACAAATTTTTGTTGCGGACACAATAACTTTTTCTAATATCTAGCGGAAAGCAGATTGATTAACATATTATGAAATAGCTTTTTTCAGGAATTAATTTTGATGAAAATCAAATTTTTCTAAAATGACATTTCTAAAATAAAATTTGTCATTCTAAAATTCATTCATAAGGTGTTCATGATGCAATATAATATATTTTTTCTTGTTTTTATGATTTATATCATCTCGTACAATGTACGTCTACAAAACACGATTATTTTTCTATTATTATTAATAAATCGATTAATGTTAATCAAAAAAAGGTGATAAACATATGACTTATTTGTTCTTAATCATAATTTCCAATTTCTAATTTCATTAGAAATTGTAACAGCTTTTATTATAATCTTATTTGCGTGAATAACAACAACGATGATGATAATAAATATTCCATAAACGAGTGTTTAATTATCTATAATATGTAATTTCTATAATACGTAATTAAAATAATTAAAACTAATAACACTAAATTAAAATGAAATTTATAAAAATACTGATATTTTCATTTATACGTATATTTTTATTAGTACATTTTTAAAATTTTATTATAATAATTATTTAAAAAATCAATTTCTTCGAAATTATGAGCCAATGGCCAACGACATGTATCGCTTTTTTTTTTGCTCAAGAACAATTTAAAAAGTACATCAAAATCCCCGACCCCTTCATCTAGTGCTCCCTTTATAAGTATTCAGAACTCGCTTACAACGATGTTAGTGCACTAACATGCTATAATTTATGTTACGCATACTATAAAATTTTAGAGGTAAAAGCGCGTTCTGAATATGGGCTGATATATAATATATAGTCATTTAAACTGCGCACCGAATTAATTTTTCGGACTTATAAACGCAATTAAACTACTATAGTAATATTACAAATTAAATTGACAAGCAATTTAATAATTTGATGCTCACTCAAGCATACTATTAGAAAGAAAGATGTTAACTGAAACATTATAAATAAATTTATTGCGATAAATAAATTACCTCGATCGGGAGTAGAACCTGGGTTTCTTGTATTCCATACGAGTGTATCCTAAATCTTTAGACTACCGAGACTTTTAGTTTAAATATAGATAATTTTAATGGACTTTCAAGATTTAACAAAAAACAACAAAACTTTTCAGTTTCTTTTAATATTACGACATTTTAATGTTACGACATGACAAAGCAAATACTAAAAAAATTTAATGAAGTTAAAATTTAATGAAATTAATTGAAGGAAATAATAAATAATATCAAATTGGGATGAGATACCAGGAATAAGTTGCATTATAAAATATCCAGCTGTTTTTCTCTTTTCTTTTTATTATTCAATTTTTTAATTTTTTAAAAAGTATAAAATTTATGTTTTATATAATTGAGAGAAACTCTTTTTAAAGCTTAGTTTCTTGTAAAATAAAAATTTTACACTTTCAGAATATAGAATTGCGGATATTTTTTCCTTCGACTAAACTAAAAGTAGAAATGATTTCTAATGTGATAACGATGGAGTTTATATATTTGGATGATCAGTGTCAGCTTAAAAGAATTAATAGAAAATTTAAAATATGAAAGCTAAAAAATGATTGGCTCGATCTACTTTCAAAACCGATGGGAAGATTCCGGCTGTTTCGTTTATTCCATGGAATGTAAGTTTAATGTCATATAAAAAATATACATGGTATCTGAAATAATGATCATTAATCACGTAGTGTTATTTTTAATAAAAAAACTGACTTGTAAATCGAAAAGTTCTCTACTATTTTATAATTTAAGCAATATCTTTTTTTAGTTATCCAATAAGCAAAATGTCTAACATCGACATATAAACAACATTAAGATATCTTTAAGAGTTCTTTAAGATCTAGCAAACGAATGGATTGAAATGGATTCAGATTTTCAGAAATATTTATTCACGAATGTTAAATGCTTTTCAATCTTAAATGCATTTTTATTCATTTATAGGAATTGCATATCTCTATGCCTTTCAATCTAAAAATAATATCAGGTTTTTCTGTGCACAACACACACATTGTGAATACTGTTCAATTCAAAATTTTGAATAGAAAATGCAGTTTTTCAATCCAATTGCATCCAATTAAATCTAATTGAATCTAATTAAATCCAATTAAATCCAAAAAAAATATTCGCTATTTAAAATACGCATTCGGATAGAAAAAAATTTCAATCCATTTTAATCCATTTTCGTTTACTGGGTACGTAGAGAGAAAATGGGTATTCTATAGTGCATCATTTCTGATTAATTGAAATTCTTATTCTCTGTTCCTATTCCTATTCCCATTCCCATTTCTTCAGATCTGGTCTATAATCAGTCGAGAGACGTTATCGTATGTTGTGTGGATGTGCATAATAACCTTTATTTTTTGTATTGGCTGTCGATGCGGCTGCCGAGCGTTTGGATTGGTCAGATCCCATCTTTTACGATTAATGACATCCGACAAGCGTCAGCCGACTTGATTGTAGACGAGGCCTCATTGTGCACAGCCCCATACCGTACCAAAGGCGTTGTAAGCCCGGATTCTCATACGAGCAACAGCGCTTTGACACCGAACGCTGATTGGTGAAAAAGGCAGATGATGGAGGTAAAATTTGCCCCTACAACCGACTTTTCACCAATCAGTGCTCTGTGTCAAAGCGCTGTTGCTCGTATGAGAATCTGGGCTAAGTGTCATAGCAGCTGACTCCCGCGCTGTCCGCGCAGATGCGCGCAGCCAACAATTCAAATTGAGATCACAGTTTGAAATACAAACGATTAGATGATCGCAATTCGATGCTTTTTACGCGCATTTAAGACAGTTACAATAATCTATTCGATATTTTGATTATAGAAATTTAAAGAAAAACAAGAATTTATTCGCGAAAAGTGCAAAAAGGAGCGAAATAATTTTGATCAAATTTCAAATCGGCATGTACGTGTAGGAATGAAGTACATCTCATAATGACGGACCATATCTAAGGTATTCATAAGTCGGTGTTCATAATTCATTCTTATTTCAAAATCGTTTTAAGTAATGTCTTAAGATGCTAATATGGCCTTCTGATTGGTTCGTAACATCTTAAGACTGTATTTAAGTTCTTAAATATAAAAATCGACTGTGAATACTGCCTTCGATTCTCATATTTAAAATCATCTTAAATATAGCCTTAAGATGTCAATCAAATGAATCAATCAGAAATATAGGTATCCTGATCGTTTTAGCGGTTTTATCTTTTAATTATCACAAACATGGCTCGATTTATGTCAAAATTATATAATATCAATTCATAAATCGAGTCGTGTAAACATAATAACAGTTTCTGAATTTAAACTTAAATAGGTTCATGTTTAGAGAGAGAAAGAAAAAAAGAAAAGTAAATAATAAGTAAAAAATGCTAGCAATAAAGTATATAACTCTTGTTCATTTCCTGCAAATTACTGTAATTAAGAACAATGAGAATTTTTACTGATTGTCCATGAAAAAAAAAACAGACTAAAGAAAGTTACATTTCAGAAACTTTTTGATTTTCTTATTTTGCAGGAAGAAGAGTCTATGCGGAATGATAGTATATCTAAATTTAAATCATATTTGATAAACACAAATCATACTTGTAAGCATTACCTCATATTTGAACTTATAGTACATACTATGTAGAAAGGTTATCAAAAAAATCACGTCATTAGTATTGAGAATTAATGTCTGGCAGTTCACTAACTCCAAATATTTGTAGCTTACATATTGTTTATTTCAAGAGTGATAAAACTCTAAAAATGTTTTTTAGTTACTAAAAAATAATTAAAAATTTTTTTAGTTACTTATATCAAGAATGAGAGTTAAGTAAATTTTTTCCTATTAATCGTAAAAAATGAATTTATCTCCATATTATTTTTGCCGGTGTTATTTGATTATTAATTTTTGTCAAATTTAAATAATAAAAAATCATTTTTCTTTTTTTGGGGAATTTTATTTTTTGAGTTACATCACTTTTGAAGTAAGGGAGCAATATATAAGTAAAAACACGTGGATGAATTGTTCCACATCTTTTATCTTTTGTTATTGTTCATTTATTTTGAATTTGTTATTTTGTTTTAGCTATATATTCATTTTTATAAGCTTGTTGAATTTGGACAATTATTAATTTTCACTTCAAGAATGTTCCAAATTTCAACTACAAATTAATATATACATATATATGTTTTTCCCGCAAATAAAAGGCAACTTTCTCAGAGTCATATGTATATGCCTTTCGCAATTGAAGGGTTAATATACAAGGTCGATATACATACATTCGAACATTTCAAGTCAATGTCTTTACAATAAATACTTTGTCAAGATAGGTATTATGATACTGAGACATTTGACCGTATACACGCTTCGCACCGAAAGGA